CCCCCCCACCCACACTTAAAAGGCCCAGTTGCCTCTGAGCAAGTCTGGAGGGTGCTGGGGTCTTTCCCCAACTGTGCCATTACCAATGTCCTCTGTGTTTATCTGACCCACTCTCCTGGCAAGCCCCTCAGACCCCTCCAGTAGTGGAGGCAGCAGCGTGCAGGAATCCCACTGTTAAAAACTCAAAGGCTGGTCTGGGGCAGGTCGGGGCCCAGGCTTCCCCTTCTTGGTAGGGCCACTGTTCCCACAAAAGGTAAGGCCCCAGGGCACCCTGGGGCCTGCCAGAGCTACCAGTTGGCTGAGCCCCTCGCCCAGGCCCCCACGGTTGTCCCTCTCCAAGGACCCAAGGACAGTCAGACCCTGACTCTGCAACCCATTCCCATGGCCAAGCCCTCCCAGAAACCACCACGCCTGGGGGCGGGGTCTCCAAGCCCTGTGGTGGCCTCTGTGCCCAAGTGGACTTTCTCTCTGCAGCACAACTCCCCCTTCCTCCACCAGCCTGGTGCCACCGCCCCCACCCATGTCAGGAGACCCCACCCTTTGTCCAGAGAGCCCCTCCCCACTTAAGGTCTAGAGACTCCACTTCATGTCCGGAGACCCACTCCAGATCTGGGGACCTCGCCACCCTAGGTCCCAGGACCCCACCCCAGGTTGAAGCCCCCCTCCATGTCCAGAGACTCCGCCCCAGATCCGGGGACCCGCCCCCCCCTATTTAGGGTCCGGAGACCCCCCACCTCACCTCCGGAGACCCACCCCATGTCCAGGGACATTCCCTGCCCAGGTCGGAGCCCCCACCCCCAGGGGGATCCCTCCACCCGGATCTGCCCCCCATTCGAGGCTCCTCGCCCCGGGTCGGAGCCCCTCTCCCCGTCCGGACCCCGCCGCCGGGTGGGCCCCTGGCCGCGCGCACTAACCTCTCGCGTCTCCGTCGGTCGTCGGCACAGGCAGCGCGGCGGGCAGCCCGACCCGGCCGAGGCCCCAGGCGGCGGCGGCGGCGATGGCGGCGCTGCTGGGACCTGCCGGGCGCTTCCGGTGGCGCGTGCGGGCGGTGCCGGGCGGAGCGCGGGGCGCGGCAGGTCTGCGGGGCGCGGGCTGGCGGGCGCAGGATCGGGGTTCGCGCGGGGAGGCGGGGCGGGGGCCGGAGGGGTCCGCGCCGGCGCCCTTTCCCCGTGGGGAACAGCGCGGGGAGAGTGGCCGCCTCCCGATCCCCCGGCCCAGCATTACCTGTGGTCCCGACGGTGGCTCATCTCCCGAGGTCACCAGGTTTCGCGCCCTGCGCACCCCACTGGCCAGGCCTCCCACCTCCTCCCCAAGGCCCCGTGGGCGCACACAGCAGGTGCTCAATAGATGCACGTGCAGGGAATCAAGGAGGGGACGGTGAGTCCGGCGGTCTGCGCTCTGGGTGCCATGGGGGAGCGGAGCACACTGCTGTTCCTCCTGGAGCCACCAAGGGTCATGGACCAAACCATACAGCAATCCGATGACCGCGAGTGCTGGGCCTGCTAGGGTCCTGAGCACCGGCTGGGCACACAGGGCGTGTGTGGGATGGGGTGGGTTGGTGGTTCCCTGTTGGGGGACTCCCCCAGAGCTGGCCACAGTGCCACCATATCTGCCACCGTAGTGTGGCCGGTCCCACGCATGACAACATGCTCCCCACCACATCCCTGCAGGGACCATCCCCCAAACCCTACCCCTGGACTGCCCCACAGGGAGTGAGTGCTGAGGTGCTGGAGCAGGGACAGGGGGAGGGCTCCTTCACGGATAGGGTGCTGTGGGAGGAATATTGGCAGCCCTGGCCAGCTGTGTGCCACCCTGGCCTTGGGGAGCAGGGCTAGGTAGCCCTGCGGAGTCTGGGGAGGCGGTCACCAGCTCCTGAGGTGGGGACGGAGGGCTGCTCTCGGTGGCTTTGCTGGCCCCTGGGCCCCCTTGCTGCACGTGTCAGGCAGGACCTTCACGATTAAATCCCTCAGCCCTCATGCTGCAGCTGCTGTGGCCGCCCAGACCATGCAGGCTGGCAGGAGGCCATGCACCCAGAGTTCTGCCCCCACGTTCAAGGGCAGAAGGGGGACCCCCAGGACCAGGGTGAGGAGGAGCCAGTAGGGCCTGGGGAAGGTGCCAACACCTAGTCAGCAGGGTCTGATTTTGAGCCTCAGCCTCCACTTCAGCCCCGGAGCTCCTGATAGGAACATGCCTGCCCCATCCAGGCAGGGGGGTGGCAGAAGTGGCCCCTGAACAGGAGCCAGAGTGACCATGATGCTGGTGTCACCTGTCCCCTAACCCCTGCTGCCAGCAGAGAGTGTGCAGGGGGGACAGCTATGCGGACGCTCCCCCAGGTGGCTCCCGAGGTGGCCAGCAGCCTGTGGGTTCACAGGGGCCTCCACCTCCCCAGAACGCTCTTTTCAGGCCCCATACCAGCCGCTGAGTTCAGGGAGGAGCAGAAAATCAGAAGAGGGTGGGCTCAGGACACAGGGGCAGACACACCTTCCCGGCTGAGCCCCTGCATGCAGGGAAGGGAGCCAGGCTGTGAGGTGCCCCAGGGTACCCCATAGAGTGCACGGGTGCGTCCCCAGCTGACACCCTAAGGGCAGCACCCGCCCTGCCCATCTTGGGGTCCTTCAGAGTCCTTCCTCCTCCACAGGCTACCCAGACCCCCCAGGTGTTTAAAGGCAGATTTCCTGCAGTGGAGCCTACAGAGGCCCCACGGAGGCCTCTGCCAAGTGCTTATCAGACAGAGAGGGCTGCTGGGCGTGCACATGGGGAGAGCCCACCGCCAAAGATAAGCCCACAATCCACGTGGCCAGCTGCTCGCGCTGCCCTCTGCCTGATAGAGTGGGGCTGTGGGGTGACACAGCTGAGACCCTGTAGTGGCGGCAGGAGGGATGGGCATCTGCCATGGAAGGTAGGGATATTCTCCTGGTCAGAGCTTCCCTGAGCAGCGGATATGAGAGAGCAACTGGATGCAGCCCGTAGCTGCCTTGACCTCCCTGCCTCCCTCCGCACGTCCTGATGATCTTCTCTTATTTCTTCCTCCCTCCACAGGGAGCAGGCCGGAGCCTGGTGCTGAGGGTCCCCAGCTTGGGGCTCTCACAGGTTGGCCACACCTAAGGACACACCTGCCCTTGCCGTCCCCCTGCTTCAGTCGTCTCTGGCCTGCCTTCTGTGCCAGCATTTACAGGAGACGGATAGCGGCTTCTGCAGGGAGGAAGGACTCCAGCGGCCTGTGTGCGGGGGGCAGGGGTGGAGGGTGCAAATGGCCTCTAAGGAACCCAGAGGCGTTTCAGAGCCGCTGTCCTGCCAGGCCCTGCCGGGAACTGAGAGAGGCCAGGCCGTGTTGCCCAACGCAGGGGCTGCCCTTGTTCTCCCTCACTGGTGACAGAGGGTGACCTTTACAACGGAAAGACAGGTGGAGTCAAGACAAACGTTTTAATCCTGTGTCTACTAGAACGTTGGGTGAAGTTGAGTTCAGGGCAGTCCTGCCAGTTCAATTACCTTCCTGATGTGGGGAGGTAGGGATTACACCCCTGCCAGCCTCACCTGCTTAGTCTCGGGATCTGGGCAGACAACATGCACCCCGTCATTGCCTCCTGCCTGCTGGGGGATGTGTGGTCACCCCATACCATCACAGGACGGGACTCCGATCCCCTAAAGTGGACCCTGTACCACACTGGAAACTGTGGCCTCCTGGGATCGCGCCCCAGGCTGCTCCTGGTCCTTCCTTCTCAACGTCTCCCCCTCACCCCTGCAGGGCGGCAATGCTATGACCTTCTGGTGATTGGCGGGGGATCCGGCGGCCTAGCCTGTGCCAAGGAAGGTACGTGTCCTGTGTCCTGCATCCCGCCAGCATGGCAGGGCCTCCAGGCTTCCGGGTCCCCTGGAGAGGGCAGTGGTGCTCTCCAGGCTGGGTGGGGATCCTCCTGAGCAGCCACGAGCTGAATGCATTGGCTCTGCAGTTGGCCCACTCCTCCCCGCTGCAACCCCAGACAACCACTGATCTGCTTTCTCTCATTGTAGATTAGTTTGCATTTTCTAAAATTCTAAGTGAAATCATGCTGTGTGTATTCTTACTTTCCGGGCTTCTCCCACAAAGCACAATTATTTGGAGATTCATCTGTGTTGCTGTGTGTATCTAGAGTTCACGCCTTTTCATTACTGAGAAGTATTCCACTGTATGTCTAGACCACGTTTGGTTGGTTCATTCGCCTGTGGATTGGGTTGTTTCAGTTTTTGGCTGTTGTGAACAGTGCTGCTATGAACATTCGTGTGTGTGTGTGTGTGTGTGTGTGTGTGTGTCTTTGGGTCTTTGTGTGGATGTGTGTTTTAAATCTCTTGCATAATCTCCTAAAAGTGGAACAGCTGGGTCATGTGGTGTATCTCTCATTTAGGTATTTTTTCATTTCTTTCAGCAATATTTTGTCATTTCAATATACAGGTCTTTCACATCTTATGTCAGATTTATCCCTAGTGTTTCATATTTTTAAAACAGCTTTACTGGGCTTCCCTGGTGGCGCAGTGGTTGAGAGTCCGCCTGCCAATGCAGGGGACACGGGTTCGTGCCCCGGTACGGGAAGATCCCACATACCGTGGAGTGGCTGGGCCCGTAAGCCATGACCGCTGAGCCTGCACGTCCGGAGCCTGTGCTCCGCAATGGGAGAGGCCACAACAGTGAGAGGCCACATACTGCAAAAAAAACCAAAAACAAAAAAAACCCAGCTTTACTGAGGTACAAGTCACACACCATACAGATCACTCATTTAAACTGCCTATTTCAGTGGATTTTATATTCACAGTTGTGCAACCATCACCACCACCAATTTCAGAACATCTCATCACCCCCAGGTACTCTGTACCCACTGGTAGTCATCTGTCTCCCTCCCCTCCTCAGCACCAGGCTACCACTAGTTTCCTTTCCGCCTCTATGGACTGGCCTGTGTTCTGGATGTTTCAAAGAAACGTGTGGTTTTGCTCTCACTCAGCATATGATGTTTTTAGTGTTCATCTGTGATACAAGCATGATGTTTTTAGTGTTCATCTGTGATACAAGCATGATGTTTTTAGTGTTCATCTGTGATACAAGCATGATGTTTTTAGTATTCATCTGTGATACAAGCATGATGTTTTTAGTGTTCATCTGTGATACAGTGTGTGTTAGTACTTTGTTCCTTTTTTAGGGCTGAATAGTGTGGATGAACCACATTTTGTTTATCCACTTGTCCGCTGGTGGATGTTTGGGTTATTTCTGCTTGGGCCAGTTATGAGTAATGCTGCTCTGAACATTCCTGCAGGTTTTGTATGGACGTGTGCTTTTATTTCCCTTGGGCAGATTCCCAGGAGTGGAATTGCTGGGTGATAGGGTAGCTCAAGTTTTAACCTTTTGAGGAGCTGCCAGACTATTTTCCAGTGTCTGTACCATTTTATATTCCCGCTAGGAAGTGTGGGGTTCGAATTTCTCCACATCCTTGCCAACACCTGTTACTGTGTTTTCTATCATAGCCCATCCTAAGTAGGTGGGAAGTGAGTGGTATCTCATTGTGGTTGACTTATATTTCCCTCGTGGTTAATGGAGCATCTTTTCATGTGTTTATTGGCCATTTCTATATTTATGGAGAAATGTCTGTTTAGAACCTTTGCCCATTTTTAAGTTCGGTTGTCTTTTCATTATTGAGTTATGAGAATACACACACACGTATATTCTGGATATTAGATCCGTATCAGATGCATAATTCTCAATTACTTTCTCCCATCCTGGGGGTTATCTTGTCACTTTCTTGATGGTGTCCTTTGCAGCACAAAAGTGTTTAATTTTGATGAAGTCAGTTGATCTGTTGTTTCTTGTGCTTTTGGTGTCACATCCAAGAAACAGCATCCCGATCCAAGGTCACAAAGACTTAGGCCTGTTTTCTTCTGAGAGCTTCACAGCTTCAGTTCTTACATTTAGGCCTTTGGTACATTGTGGATTAACATGCAGACGTGGTGGGGTCATTGCCTCCGGGTTTGAGACATGCACCTTTCCATGTCACGGTCCCCCTTCAGGTGACACTCTCCCACCAGTCACATTCCACTTCTACATGTTACAAAGCCCACAGCACATTGTACAATTTTTGTTTAAACAGTGATCTTTTTTTTATACTGATTATTTTGTTTTTGTTTTTATTTTTATATATTTATTTATTTGGTTGCACTGGGTCTTAGTTGTGGCTTAGTTGTGGCTCGCCAGCTCCCTAGTTGTGGCATGCAAACTCTTAGTTGCAGCATGCATGTGGGATCTAGTTCCCCGACCAGGGAACGAACCTGGGCCCCCTGCATTGGGAGCACAGAGTCTTAACCACCACGCCACCAGGGAAGTCCCTAAATAGTGACTTTCTGAAGAGATTTCAGTGATAAGGAAAAAGCTAACACATCTGCCCATGTGGTCGTCATTTCTGGGGCTTCCGTTCCTTTCTGTGGATCTGAATTTCCACCTGGCATCATTTTCCTCCTACTGCAAGGACGTCCGTGAACATTTCTTGTCGTGTGACTCTAGGGGTTATAAATTCTTTCAGCTTTTGTGAGTCTGAAGACATCTTTACTCTGCCTTCATTTTAAAAAGGTATTTTCTCTGAGTATAGAATTCAAGGGAACAATACAGCCGGCCCTCTGTATCCACAGGCTCCACATTCACAGATTCAACCAACCACAGATCAAAAAAATATTTAAAAAAAAATTCCAGAAAATTCCAAAAAGCAAAACTTGAACTTGCCGCATACTGGCAACTATTTATCATTTACACTGTATTTACAACTACTTACATAGTGTTAACGTTGTATTAGGTGTTATAATCTAGAGATGATTTAAGGTAAAGGTTACTGCAGATGCTGCACCATTTTCTATAAGGGACTTGAGCATCTGGCTGCTCTGGGTTGTCCCAGAGCTCATGAGAGCTCTTTCTACTGTGGATAGTTTCTATTCCTGTTTTCAAATTCTCTAATAAAAGAGTGTGCGATGTCTACTCGACCATGAACCCCACTCGGTGCAGTATTCATCTCTGCAGTTCAACTTGGGTCCTTTTTTCTATCTTCCATGTTACTTCTTGACTTTTTGAACATGTGGAATACAGTTAAAACACCTGTTTTACTTTTTTCCCCACTAATTCTGACATTATTGTCAGTTCTTGGTCAGTTTCCATTGACTATTTTTCCCTTTAAGGGCTGTATTTTCCTGCTTCTTTGCATGCCTGGTAATTTTTGTTTGAGTGCCAGACACTTTGGACTTTACCTTGCTGGTTTCTGGATATTTTTATATTCCTAGAAATATTTCTGAGCATGTTCTGGGATGTAGCTACAGACAGTTTGATCTTTTTGAGTCTTCTGCGTAAGATTTGTTAGGCGCTCTGGCGCTGTGCCCAGTCTAGGGCTAATTATTCTCAACTGCTGAGGCATGACCTTCCTAATGCTCACCCAGTGTTCCAGGACTTAAAGTTTCTCCAGGCTGGCTTCTGGGAGCAGCACTGTCCCGGCCTTAGGTACTTTCCCCTCTCTCTCCTCTCTCTCCTCTGTCTCAGGAACCCTCAGCCCGGGAGCCTGCTGGACCTGCCTGGGCCCCCTCTGTGCTGTGTCCTGCAGACTATCTGGTCGCGGGGCTCACCTCGTCCCTTTCCTGTCTCTCAGAGATCGCTGGCCTTTGTTTTCATTTATTCAGTTTCTTGAAACCATTATTTCGTGTATTTTGTCAGGATTTTTGGTTATTTTGAGCAGGAGGCTAACTCTGGTCCCTGTTGCTCCATCCTGATCAGACCTGGGAGCCAGGCGTTGGTATGTCTGAGGTGTCCCCTTGGCTGGAGACTTTAAATCAAGCACTGGGATCCATCTTGATTCAGTTGAATGAAATGGTTTTGTTAATGAAGACTTCTAAAATTTGGTTCTAATCTTGGTAGCTGGTAGCCATGAATCAAGCATGTTCTGTGTGTTTCAAACACTCGTGGACTCGTGACATACAAGTGGGGCGTGCCCTCGGGGCCGTCACGGCCAGGGACCAGGGCTGGCTGATGCAGTGCCATAGGCGAGCCAGTGGGAAGCCCATGATTAGTCCTGGCCTCAGAACCTGGCTGGGGGAGCCTGCTGATAGCTGGGGGCTCCAGGCAGGGGTGCAGTTTGGAGCCCTGGTCTTGGGGCCTGGCTGACCTGAACCTGCCATTTGACCTCCGAGCTTCCATTTCCTCACCCTGAGAGGAGGCAGTAAACGTCCACCTGGGGGCTCTGACCGGCGTAGACCGAGGGCCACCCCACAAGGTGTCTGGGGAAGAGAGGAGTAAGGGAGGGCCTGGGGAGCGAGCCAGGGGCCTCCCTGTGATGCCTGCATGGAGTGTGCTTGGGGTGGGCCCCGGGCCTGTGCTGGACCTGCAGCCAGGTTGGGGGGGGCGCATCCCAGCACTGCTGTGGTGGGTGGTGCAGAGCCTGCGGTCAGGAAGAGGTCGGGGTGCCCGTCTAGGGGCAGCATAGCTGGGAGCAGAGGCAGTGGGAGACCCGGCTGCATAGCTCGTGGGCGGCTGCTGGCCTGGTCCTTCCCCAGCCTCCTCTGGGCCTCGTGGGCTCCTGGGGTCCCCGACCCTGAACCGGTCCCTGGTTGTGCTCACCTGCCTGTTTCTCTGGTCCTTCCAGCCGCCCAGCTGGGGAAGAAGGTGGCCGTTGTGGACTACGTGGAGCCTTCCCCCCGAGGTAGGCAGCCCCTGCCGGGGGCCGCATGTCCTGGGGAAGGTGGTGGGTCACACACAGAGGGTGGCTGAGCCCTGGACTGCTGCCCAGTCTCCGGACAGCGTTCTGCTTCTCGGGGAAGCTGCCATCACTGTAGGTTCCTCATCCTCCTCATTTAAACCAAGTCTGAATGCAACCGCAGCCGGCGCGTCCACACGGCAGGTTCACCTGGGCCGCGTTGGAGTTAAAGCAACTAAAAGGAATTGGAAACAGCTGTAGAGCAGGGCTGGCCTGGCTCACCTGAACCCTGTCTGTGTGCTCTTCCCACCTCCCCAGGCACCCGGTGGGGCCTTGGCGGCACCTGCGTGAACGTCGGCTGCATCCCCAAGAAGCTGATGCACCAGGCGGCGCTGCTAGGGGGCATGATCCACGACGCCTCCCACTACGGCTGGAAGGTGGCCCAGCCCCTGCATGACTGGTGAGGGCACGTGGGGGATGGCTGATCCCATCAGCCTCGCAGGAGCTGTGGGTGCGATTCTCACCTGGGGGCACCTCTGGGCCCCCAGCAGTGGGCAAAGTCTAGAGACGTTTTTGGTGATCTCCACAGTGGGGGCTGCGCATCCCCTGGGTGGAGCCTGAGATGCTGCCACTTGCCCCACGGCGCCCAGGACACCCCTGGAAGGACGCTCGGCCCAACGGCTGCAGTGCTTCAGGCCTGGCGGGTGGCGCATGGTCCGTTTGGAGCCCTGCGGTCTGAAGCCCCAAACCTGGCCCAGGGGCGGCAGCCGTGGGGACAGACATCATCTTTACCACCTTGAGAAACCCCTCTGCCTCTGGGCATTTCTGTTAAGGGCTGTTTGCCTCTAATAATCTGTGGCGGGACCTGCAGCTGACACTTGTGTGGTGGCTTTAAGCATCGTGCTTTGTGTCAACAGGGGGAAAATGGCAGAAGCCGTTCAGAACCACGTGAAGTCCCTGAACTGGGGGCACCGGGTCCAGCTGCAGGACAGGTACTGATGCCGTGCTAGGCTCTGGGCGGGTCCTGGGGCACGTGAGGACTCCCCAGGAGGAGGAGGCGTGAGACCCGGGTTAGAAAGCCCGGCCACCCTCGCCCTTCGCGGTGCCTGTTCTCCCCGCCTAACTGTCCCCTCCCTGCTGGGCACCCCCCTCACCAGCAGGAGGTCTATGGGTGTTTTGGGGGGAGGGTAACTGGGTGCATGTGGGGGCCTCCCCTTCCTGGTGGAGGGTGTCCAGGTGACAGGACTGACCTTGGGGGAGGCCCGGCCACCTCTGTCCTCATACACCGGGGCTGAGCTTGGGCCCTTAAGACACCCCTGCGTGGCAGCTGTGGTCACCATGTACCGGGGAACCCTGGGGAGACAGCAGCCGCGCCCCATGCTTCCCGGTGTGGGTCTGCACACTCCTTTTGCCCCTCGTGAGCCGTGGGTGGCCCGAGCTCACATTGTAGCCATCTGCCTAGTGCTCCCTATTTAATCCTGAGGTGATGCCTCATTTGCAGCGGGGATGTTTGAACACATCCTATTTCTATTTTGCAGAAAAGTGAAGTACCTGAACTTCAAGGCCAGCTTTGTCAATCCACACGTGGTTTGTGGTGTCTCAAAAGCTGGGGAAGAGGTGAGCGCCCTCCTCCCAGGGCCCCTGGGGCAGCACGGGCCGGTCCATGGGTCAGTCTGTGGCCCAGGTGGGTGGACCTCAGCTCTCCTCGGTCTCAGCGCTGTCCTTGGAGATCAGTGCCGCTGGGATTGATACGACGTTCCTCTGGACTGAGGCCAGTCTAATTCTTTGTGAAGGAGGAAGTGACCACGCCAGGCTGCCCGCTGCTCGGGCCGCTGCAGCCCTGCAGGGGTTTGCGGGGATTCCAGGAGACCTTACCACCCGTGCAATGCTGTGTAAACTGTGAAGTGCTTGGACTTAGAGGCTCTCCTGCCAGTCCCTGGGGCTGCTGCCACAGGGTCCACACTGCAGGGCAGAGGCTGTGATGGGGAAGCTGGTGGAGCCCTCGAATGGGGACTGCAGGTGACCTGGGTGACTGTGGCTTTCTCGGTTTCTTCTCAGACTCTGCTTTCGGCCGACCACATTGTCATCGCCACCGGAGGGCGGCCGAGGTACCCCATGCACGTGAGTGTCCTCAGGAGCCCCCACCCCCCCACCCCATTCATGATCTGGTGACATGCACCTCCCACTCCCCACTGTCCTCCAAGTGGCCCTGTGCTCACAGCTGTCACTTTTCACTGCCCGTGCTCTCGAGTGCCCTCTGCTGAGCCAGGTTCCCACATCCCCACTTGGCTGAGTCCCGAGAGCGACTGTCGCGTTCCTCAGCTGCTGGGCCAGCCCCCGCCTGCCCTCTTCATGTCCCCACATCACTTCTCCTCTATCTCCCTTGTTGATTCCTCCTTTTTAGCCTCAGAATGTTGGAACGTTTGGGACTTAAGCCTGGTTCCTCCTCCCCCAAACCCAAATCTTGTTCTTTAGTTGACGTGAAACTCACATACCATAAAATGCACCCTTTGAAAGGGTACAGTCCAATGAGTTCCAGTTTATTCAGAGTCATTCACCCGTCGGTCCCACTACTGAATCTCAGAATGTTTCATTCGCCCAGAACGAAACCCTGGCCCCATCAGCTGTCGCTCCCGCCCCCCTCCCCCGGCCCCAGCAGCCTGCTCTCTGTCTCTGTGGATTTGCCTGTTCTGGACGTTTCACATCAGTGGGATGAGATGCATGGCCTCTTTGACCAGCTTACTGCTGAGTGATGTTCCGTGGTGGGTGTGACATTCTGTTGTCTGCTTGCGTGGTGGACCTCTGGGTTGTTTCCACTTTGTTGAGTGATGCTGCTGGGAGCCCATGTGGATGCAAGTTGTCCCTTCTCCTGGGCAGACACCTGGGGGTGGAGGTCCCAGGCCCCCGGGGCGGGGGGCAGCCTCACCGTTTACATCCCCACCTGCAGTGCATGGTGTTCATCCTTTTTGGTTTCTTCTCGTGTCTTGTGATGTTTTGCTGAAAAGTGATCATTTCAAATAAAATGACATGTTCACTCTGGAAGCTAGGATCTCCCTCCACTTTGGGATTTCGTTTATTGCTGCTTGGCTGTTGGGTGATTTTTCTGGACCGATTTTGTAAACTCTTTATTCTGTGTCCTGTGAGGCTACTGAGGTCTCTGCTCAGTGGCCAGCTAGTGACTGGGCAGAGATGTGCTTAAACACCAGACCCAGGAAGTCTCCCCGTCTTTGCGAGGCTCCCCACCCTCAGTGCTCAACCTGGTGGGGGACGCTCTGCCTTCGCCCCCACCACCTGCTTCTGTGGGGCCTGGAGGCCAGTGCTCAAGGCTGCCCCAGACCCAGACATAGGCCCAGACAGGTGGATGGGGAGGACCAAGGGCGTGGTTCTGCCTCCTCACAGACTCTTAAATCTGAACCTCCGTCCAGTTCTGTGCTTCCACTGGAAACAGGAGCTGGGAGGGCGCCAAGGCAAGTGCACACTCCAGTCCTCAGGACCGCGACGCGGCCCCTGCCGCTGTCAGCCCAGCAAGAGCAGCCTCCAGAGGGGACCAGACAGCTGTGCCAGGTGGCCCTGGGCAGGATGTGTGGCTCCGTAGGAGGGGAGGGCGCTTGTTCCAGTAGCCACATAGGCAGGGGCCAAGTGGTGACTATTAGTGATCCCTCACCCACAGCTGGGCCCACGTTGGCTCCATTCAAAGCCCCTGATGGCCATGGTCAGTTCCTGGGACCCAGAGATCAGCTCAGCTCCACCCTGCACGTGGCTGCCAGAGTGCCTGCGAGGAGACTGGCCCGGCCTCTCCCTGCTGTCCGCTTGCCTGAGGGGCGGCTTTAGGAACACAGATAAGTTAATTTTTTTCTCAGAGAAACCTCCCTGGAATTCTCTGAATTAATAAAACATTCTTAGTATTTCCTACCACCATCCCACGCACTTATCCTTTGCAACAGTTACAGTTGTGATTTGACATTTTGTGTGTGCGTTTATGTTTATCTCTGTCTCCCCAGCCAAAACATAAACTCTGGTAGGACTGGAAACTGCCTGGTTTTGCTCACCAACATACTCTCAAGATACTTAAGAAATATTTATTGAAAAAATGAATGATTTTTAACCGTAATATTATGTGCCTGATTCCAGAGTCCTGGCCCATCACTCTGCACTCAGGTGGACAAAGACTAAGTTTGACCTGCATCCCAAGGCAACAATTGTGTCTCATAAATCTGCTTCCACAGTGCTTTGTCTGGATTGGATGCTACAGCTTAGTAAAGAGCAACCATCTTCTAATTAGCCTAAACTCAGCTTGCTGCTGATTCTGAAGAGGCATACTTTATCCTTTTGGGGTGAAGCGGGAGCCTCGGGTCCTGGGGAAGCTGCTCAGTGGCCACTCTGCTCTTGGCTGCCCGCCCCGGTGCCTGCCAACACTTGTTGTGTTTTAGTATTGTGTTTATATCCAGACCTTTCGATCTTCTTGAGCAAACTTAAGAAATTCCTGACTTTATTTTTTTTGCCAATTGGAACCGTAAACTGTTTGAAATCCATTTCCTCTCTCCCAGCACATCTGACTCTCAGGGGCCATAGAGAGGACGTGTCCTGTGTCCCCCACCTGCTGGGGTATGGGGTGACCTGGACAACTCCCGGGCACAGGGCCCACCATGCTGTCCCTCAAGGGCCCCCGGTTGGTCGCATCCAGCCTCCAGCCTTCAGCCTGGCGCCCTGGGAGCCGGCCCGCCCCGCTTCACCCCTTGCTCCCCACAGCCCTGGGTCTGGATCTGGGGGGAGTCCTGGAGAGCGAGAGGAAGGAGCCGCTGCCCCGGGCCCCCAAGGGAGTGGCCGTATCCCCTGTCCCAGAGGCTGCACCCGAGGAGGTGCAGCCACATGTGGGCAGGTGGTTCTGGCTCAGTTGTGTCTGCAAACTGGGCATCCTCGGAGGGAGCCCGGGGGGCAGCCGGTGACGCAGGCCTCACATTGACCCTTTTCCCGGATAGATCGAAGGTGCCTTGGAATACGGGATTACGAGTGATGACATCTTCTGGCTGAAGGAGTCCCCTGGAAAAACGTAAGGCCTGGGGGTGCCCAAGGGGCCCCACTCCCCTGTGCACACAGCCAGGTGGGGAGCACATGCCGCTGCCCCTCTGTAGCGCATTCTTTCCCACCTACCTGAGGGAAGGGCAAAAAGCCCGGCCCTGTGCCCATTTGGGGCTGACACTGTCCCAGGACTGAGTCACAGTGCGTGGCCATTATTGTCTGGGGCACAGGTTTTCACCAGGGTTCCCAGGAGCCGCAGGTCCCAGTGGGTCCTCAGGGCCATCTGGGTATGCGGGTAGGTGGGTGGGCCCTGGGGGAAAGCCCTGGTCCCCCTCCGGCTCCAATCGAACGTCCCCGTTTTCATCTGTTTGTCACCTGGGCTTCCCTGAAATCAGCAAAGGCTCAGGCTTCCAGAAACCAGAGCCCAGCTGTGAAGCCAGGCCTTCAGCGTGGCTGGCCCCCCTGTGGCCAAGGGCTGGGTTCACTCCTGGCATGGGGTCCGGGTCTGGGTGCTGCTGCCTGGGCACTGAGGAGACCTCATGCTCGCAGGGACCATAGAGGCCACCAGAGGGCGACAGAGGCTCGGCCGTCACAGTGCTGGGCTGCCGGGGTGGGGGTGGGGGGACCAGCTGCCAGATGGCCCGAGGGCATGCCCGGGGTGGGCAGGCGTGTGCAAGTGTGCATGTGTCAGCATGGGTGAGGGCATGTATGTGTACACGTGAGCACGTGTGTGAACACGTGAGCACACGTGTGAGAACTTGCGCATGTGCTCGTGCCGCGCTCTGCTTGTCCCTGCTATCCCAGCCTCACGAGGTGTCCTTGTTCAGGGCTGGGCACAGACCCTGGCATGGGGGTGGCTTGGTGTGACCTCCCACCACTCGCGGCCACCTCTTTGTGAAAGGCTGCAGTGAAAACCCTGACATGCGTCTTCTTGTTGTCTCAGTGTTTCTTATGTGTCGTGTGCGCGGTCAGGGCTGTGTCCACAGTAGAGAACTGCGGTCCCCGCTGGGCGCTTGTGCTGCTCTCCCTGCCTGATGCTGCCTCGGCATTTCCATGGGGCCTGAAGGGAAGGGAGCCTCTCCTGCTCCCTGTTGGGGGGTGGAGGGAGCACAGCCACTTCCATCTGCGGTCAGGCTCCTGGCCCTGGCCACCGCCTCGCCTCCCACAGGGCCCCCAGGCTGTGGTTGGTGCTTCGACTTGGCAATAGTTGTTCATTTTTCTGATGTCACATTTATCACGTTTTCTCTTTACGCCATAGTATCTGGGTTATTTGTTGTTTTGTCTCTGACTAGTAGGTTAAATGTGGCCTGGTTTCATTTGCGTTTGCTATTATGTGGTCTTTTGTGTAATTATTGGCCGTTTAAAATTGAGTGTGTAAGTCGTGAGTGTGTGTCTGTGAGTGAGCGTGTGTCTAAGTCTGAATATGAGTGTGTGTGGCTGTGAATGGGGGCTGCTCGCTCCTGGGCCTTCTCTCTGGCTTTTCTCTTTCTTATCTTTCCGCGGGTTTGCTGTCAGGGCTGAGATCCCGTGTTGTTTACAATTGCAGATTTTCTCAGCTTGTCCTTTTAACTCATGTAACATACAAATATGACATACAAATGTTTTGGTCTTATTTTTTTTAAGTGTAGCTTAGGCTCTTTTACACTTAATGGCTGTTAGATTTATTGCATGTTCAGGAGGACCTTTCCCCACCAAGATCTTTTTTGACAAAAGCCCTGGATTTCCTGTGGGTCCCAGGGCCTTGGGGCGTCTGCAGCACATCTGTGGCAGAGACGGGGTCCCATGCGTCCACCACCAGCCCCTCCCACCAGCCTGGAAGCTCCTCCAAGCAGAGCCCAGTCCTGCTCTGGCCCTGATTTGGGGTCCCTACTGCCGCGCAAGTGCCCAGCGTGGTCTTCAGACCTGCATTGTTTTCTTGCGCATTGATTTCTCTGGGTCACTGAGGCACTTTGCCAGCCTCTCTGAGGTGGACTGTGGAGACCATGGTGCCGATGGCCTTCAACGTGCGGCCGCCTGGACACTGGCTCCCCGCTCAGTGCTTCTGGCCTGGCCGAGGCTACCCGTGTGGCCCGGTAATCTCCACCCATCACCGAAGGCCAGCAGTTTCTGAATCCTGGTCTTTTCTTAAATTAGTTCCTGTGTGTTTTATTTTCTCTTGTTTGCTATTTCCCCATTACATCTTGAGAGCCAAGTCCACCTCCAGGGGGGCCGGTGTCTGGTGGCTCTCACTGCCCACTGCTCACTGGAGGCTGGTGTGCGGAGAGGCTGCACAGGCCGGAAGGAGGCCCGGGCGCAGGGGCCCCGTGCAGCTGCCCCCAGTGACCACGTGCTGGGGCAGCGGCCTGCGCGGCCGGGAAGACAGCCCCAGATATTGGGGTCAGGAAAGTGTTTATTTTCTTCAGAAAAAAAAACGTTTAGAAGACTTTTTTTAAAAAAGCTCTTTCGTTTAGAAGGAATCTAGGTATGTTATTGTTTAAGGAAAAAGTGTTTGCAATGTATCAGTCACCCGTTCCATTCTGAGCATGATTTATGTGAGGAAATGGTTTTTTTAAAAATTAAGCTGGAGATATATCCCTGTACGATGCTTCTGTGAAACGCAGCTTTTGTGCGGAGCTGTGGATGCAAGTTGTAACAGTGTGATACGGGAGTCAGTGTTTACTCCTTACATTCCTGCCCGCAGTCAAAATAAGCCCGAGGGTCTACAGTAGCATTTCTGTATTTTATCAGCTTGGGCTGGGCCGGGGGTGGGGGTGGGGGGGCCTCTGCTCACACTCCGAGGGGCTGTTTCTGCCAGATTTATTTGCCTTATAAATATTCCCCGTGTTTATTTTAACTCGCCTTTAAAATGGAGCTGAAATGAATATGGACCCGAGGGCTGCCCCCGGCCCTGGAGGCCTCCCAAAGCCGGCCAGGACCTTCCCACTGGGCCCCGGCCAGGAGGCCAGCCGGCGGTTGAGGGTGCCCAGTGTGCCTGGCCTCGGCCTGCAGCGGTGGAGCCTCCACTGGCCGGCTCCCAAGGTCCCGTGGGCTCCGTGGCATCCTGTCTTCCTCCCCATGATGGGGTGTGGGCCGCGGCTGGCGGCTCAGGGGCATCTGCATGAGGCTGGGTGGCCAGCAGCTCAGGCCTGGAGAGCCGGCCCTCAGCCTCCGCTGTTGCCCCACCTGCCTTTGCCCCAAAGGGTCTTGGTGCTTTCTGGACATCCTGTGTCCAGCTGCTCCTGGGGGCCCCGAGCTCTGTGGCCCCAGCATTTCCTGCGCTGGCGGGACAGCTGCAGGGCCCCCACGCTGTGTGGGTGCACCCTCGGGGAGCGGATTGGGGCCTTCAGACTCAAGAGGCAGGTGGAGAGCTCTTTAAGCTGGGGCTCCAAGGCCTGAAGGAAGGCTTTGTTTCTGCTTCCTCCCCCTTCAGACTCTAAGGAGAGAGCCAGCCCTGTGATCAGGCTAATCCCACGGCAGTTACACCTTGGTGTACAGTGTTTGCAGCACCGAAGGGCACACAGGGGGGCTCCCCGAACACACACACAGCTGAGTGGGGCTCTGGGTGCAGGTGGAGCCCCCGTGGGGTGTCCTGCTGCAGTGTGAGGCCGTGTGTCCAGTCCTCAGAGGCCCCGCCACCCCAGGTCCTCCCTTTGCCGGCAGGGCTTGCCGTGGGCACTGTGCCTTGGCACCAGCCTCAGCCCCACCCAGGCTGGGGTCTCCTAGGTGGCCGGCAAAGCCCACCTTCAGCTTCAAACCTGCCAATAAAAACGCAGCGTCCCTTCAGGGCTGCCTGCACCCCACCTGCAGGCGCCAGCTCCATTTTTGCTGTTTTCTTACTCCAGTCCATTTGAAGGGAGTTCTCTGGTTGAGACCTTGAATCCTGCATTTTTCGAAGAATAATACTTATTTGATGAATTGGGGGCAGGGTGGAGTGAAAACCAACACGGTTGACCGTCTTTCCTCTTGGAGACAAGATGAGGCCCAAGGTGACCATCAGGGCCAGTGAACGCCTGCCCGCTCTGAGGTTTCAGCCGCCCATGCTTGGTCAAGGATGCCCACTGAGGCCCGGCAGGGCTGGTGCCTATCCCCCAGATGTGCCCTCTGTTGGCGTCTTGGAACCAGTAGCCTGGGGCTGGGGGTACCATGACCTGGAGGTTGGAGTGGGGGCCTACCCCGCCTCCCTACCCTGCTCCCTGCAGGGCTTGAGGAGGTGCCCAGGGGCTGCAGGAACAAAACGCTTTTGCCAAAATCAGGAGACCATGTTGCTGCGTTGTCTGGAGCTGGGCTGTGGGCTTCAGGCTGCAGCCACCGCCCCCCTGCCAAGAGGGTCTGCTCTACGGAGACAGGAGGGCTCGGACGAACAGGACAGCCCAGCAGGCGGGCAGTGGGCTCCCTGGCACCTGCATGTCACGGTTGCCCAGGCCGTGGCCACCCTGAGTGGGAGCACAGGACACCGTGAGGTCCACACAGATGCTCTTCATTGGTCCTTGCATTGGAGCAGGATGTTCAAAGCAGCTCAAGCCTGTTTGCATTTTAAGTAACTCGTAGTTTCGTATTTTAAAGAAAGGCTTGTCCCCTTCCCCATACACGTCGAGACTGAGGGAGGGCAGATTGTGTAACATTGAGTGTACCCACATGCAGACATGTGCATTGTGCCTATGTGTGTGTGCCTCACATGCCGAGCTCTCCCCACTCACCCTGCACAGGATGCCGGCAGTCCTGTCCCAGCTCCTGAGAGGAAGCCGTGTGCCAGTTGCTTCCCGCAGGGCACTGGCAACAGTATTCCCAGAGATGTGCTGCTGTTTGAAATGGAATTATATCATTAGTACCTGCTGGGATCAGAGCTGACACTTGCTTATCCGTCCTTGCATCACCTCCTCTCGTTCAAAGGCTGAGGGGTGATCTGACAAGCCCACCCACACGCCGCCCGGGCTGGGAGTCTCCGCTCTGTGTTCAGTTCTGTTCATGTGTACACGTGTGCAAGTGTGTGTGTGTGTGTGTGCACGTGTATGCATGCAGGGTATGTGCAGCTGAATAACAGGAGAGGATCTGCTGGGTCCCAGCGTCCTGTGTCTCTCTCCCTGGCTGCCCTTGCTCGGGGAGCTGACTCTCCCAGCCACAGGCCTGTGTGCAGCGGGGCTGGGTGGGCAATGGGTGGGCCGTCTGCCTGGGCCCCGTGGTCCCAGAGTGTTCTGCCCACAGACGGGGCTTCCAGGAGCTGCCCCACGTCTGGCGCCTCCCCGTCTGTTTCCAGTCTGGCTGCAGGAGGTCCAGAGGAACCCAAGGCAGAACTTTCCTTAGGAGAGAAGGCAAATCCTCCTGCTTCTTCTGACTGGGCTTCGTCCATGTTTGTCCCGCCTCCAGTCCCATCCCCGGGACGTGCTGTTTTGTCCCTGGCCACTCATTCCTTCACCACCAGGCAATTTTGCAAACCAGCAGCTCTGTTTGTCATTCACAGCTGGAGCTCTGGGAAGTGGGTTTTGTACATTGGGACAGCCTGTTTGAACAGTTAGCCGCAGGGACTCCGCAATAGTGACATGTCAGCTGACAGGCGCCCTGCATGAAGGCTGCAGGGCCCCGTCCCCCTCAGAGCCCCACCAGGGATGGCTGCATGCATCATGGCGGCCACGTGTGAGACTCAATTTGTCCCTCTCTGTCCATCTCTCTTACAGGTTGGTGGTTGGGGCCAGCTGTATCCTTTGCTGCGTGCAGGTGACAGACAGATAGACAGCTGTGTTCACTGTCCTGAGAGTGGAAGCTTGGGCCCCAGGCCCGCCTGCCCCCCTCACCGCACTCTCTCCCATGGGGCTTGCCCTCTGCCACCTGGAACCAGGCACTTACAGGCCCACTCAGGGCAGATGACCTGTGCTCAAGGGACAATTTGAGGTTGACCTTTGAGGCTGGGGCTTCCTGGAGGCTCTTCCTGAGTCACTCGCTGGCTGGGCAGCTGGACACAGCCGTGAGGCAGACGGTCCTCCCTGGAGAGCAGCCCCACTCAGGCCGGTTCCTTAAGAGGGAGCAGTAACACCAGGGAGGGTGGAGGGTGCATCTGCAGGAAGATGGAGACACTGAGGTCTGGGCACGTCTCCTGTCCTTCACCACACAGGCCCCTTGGTTAACCTCCAGGGAGTCTGGACAGAGGCCCCGTGGAGGCAGAACCTGCCTTGCCTGTGGGTGCTGAAGGGAGCCTCCACCTTGCCCTGGATGTGTGTTTGAGAGATGGGGGCGGTGGGGACAGTGTCTCTGCGGCCAGTGTTGGAGACTCTTCTGGACTGCTGGGGACTGGTGGAGACGGGGGCTGCTGGCGGGGGCACCGGGGGTCTTGCTGCCTAGCTCCCGTTAGCGTTCCTTAGCCTGCTCTGGCAGACGTGGCCCTGGAGTGTGCTGGCTTCCTCACTGGGCTCGGCCTGGATACCACTGTCATGATACGCAGTGTCCCTCTCCGGGCCTTCGACCAGGTAATGCCGGGCCGGTGTCCCCTCCACCTGTGGCCCACCTGGGCAGGTGCAGGTGTGGGCTGGGAGCGAGGTCTCAGTCTTTAGAAACTGGCCCTTGAGTCGAATGAGGAGATTGTTGGCAAAATAAACACCTGCCAGCGTATTGCAGCAAGGGTCAGCACGTGGGGAGCGTGGCAGGTACCAGAGGGACACCATGGGCGTGCTGGCCAGCTCACGGGCCGTGAGGTCAGGTCACCCAATAGTAAGTGGCCAGCGTGTGTGGGCAGAAGTGCGGTCCTGGCTTCCTCGCTGAGCCCCCTGAGGTCCGAGGAGCTCTACTATCCAAGGGTAGCATGGACAGGGAGCAGGCGGCAGCTGGTGAGGCCCTGGGTGACCGTCACGGGAGATGGTGGCCTGGCCACCATGGACTGGAAAGACGTGATGCTGAGCCAGGCCACTGCAGCCTCGCCACCTCCCCGTCCACCGCACGGGGCAGCACCGGCCCTGGGGCGCAGACTCTCTCCCTGATGGTGGACGTGCCCACATAATGAGCGCGTGGAGTTTTTTTTAAACCAAAAACCCTCCGAGGAGATGTCACTTTAAAATCCAGGTCTGGGTTGTCATTGTCAAGACACCAGGCTCCCGGTGCCCTGCAGAGGTGGGCACTGTCCATTGCACAGCTCTGGGGCAGTGCACCCCTCGGTCCTGTCACCTGCTCAGTGCACACGCCCGAGCACCTGCCACGGGGACACATGTCCAGGGAAGGCCTCGAGCCTCATGCTGGACGCAGGTGGAGATGGGGCCTGAGAGGCAGAGGCCTGCAGGGATGTGGAAAAGGGGGCTGATGAGGCTGAGCTGGAGAGCCGGGTTGGCAGGTGGTCATGGTAGCAGGAGAGGGAGAATCTGCATGTGGCTGGCACACAGAAACGGTGGGGTCACCAGGCTGGAGTCAGGGGAGCGGGGGGAGAGCAGGCTCCAGGTGAGGCCTTGTGGCCTGCCCACCTGTTCCTGGGGGACAGACAAAGCTCCTCATGCTGGGGTGGCCCCTGAGTCAGGGGAGTTAAACAGTGACTTGTATTTTTCCTGATGGCTTGTTCAAGCCCCCACCGTGGCCCTGGGGGCACAGCTGCCTGGGCTGGGAGGGAGGAACCCCTTGCAGCGCTTCCTCATGCCATGCCACCTCCCCTAGCAGTTCTTGGTGGGAAGCGGAGGTGCCCACCTCCACTCCCAGCTACCCAGCTGCTGACCCCAGCCGGGGGGGCCAGGCAGGCAGAGCCCGGGAGAAGGGGTGCGTATCTGCCATTTCAGTGAAGATCTAAAGAGAGTCCAGAGATCACATGCACGCTAACTGAGGGGCTTGGGTCCTCAGATTTGGAGGGGGTTGGGGCGCCAGAGTCTCTCCCGGCTTGGCCCTCAGCTCTGTGGAAAGCAGGGCACTCGGAGCGGGGCGGCCTGTGTGAGGCGTCCTGGACGAAGGCGTGGGGCCCTGACCTCTTCCTTTGGAGAGGCTCCCCCTGGGGCCCCGGGCCTATTCAGGCTGTAGGCCCAGGTCCTCTGCACAGGCCTCAGCAGTGACACTCCCACTGCTGCCCGGTCCTCAAGGCATGTCCTCTTGTGCTTTGCAGCAAATGGCTTCCTTGGTCACAGAGCACATGGCGGTTCACGGCACCCGAATCCTGAGGGGCTGCACCCCCTTGAGGGTGGAGAGGCTCTCAGACGGGCGACTCCAGGTCACCTGGGTGGACCTTGCCTCCGACAAGAAGGACACAGGCACCTTTGACACCGTCCTGTGGGCCGTAGGTAAGGATGCTCAGGACCCCGTGCTCCTGCGCGCACTCGGGGGACAAGGCGTACCGCCTTCCCCTCCATTGGGCATCTTGGCCCCCTTCTCACCACTCCTGACGCTCGTCACTCTGCTGGCTCTGGGGTGGGGGCTGGATAAAGGCCATGAGGTGGCCCTGACCAGCCTCGCTCTTCCTCCGTCCGAGCACACTGTGGCCTCCTGGTCTTTCTTCCCCAGCGCTCCTCGTTCTGGAAATGAAAACCAAGGAAGAACTGTGGATGGTGGGTTGCAGGCAGCTGGGTTTTCGTCGGGGAGACTAGTTAGTCCTGTGGGCGGTTTATCGAGGCCTTGCGTACATTTCCTACTAACTTTAAACCTTGGTGTAGATGTGTTTTTTTAGTAAATTAGACTTGTTTTCCACCGTAGCCTCAAGATAGCTGTTTATAACATACAAACGATAACGGAGTTTTTACCTTTTTTTAACTTTTAACGTGTGAGTAACATAAAATTTACTATCTTGGGCTTCCCTGGTGGCGCAGTGGTTGAGAGTCTGCCTGACGATGCAGGGGACGCGGGTTTGTGCCCTGGTCCGGGAAGATCCCACATGCTGCCGAGCGGCTGGGCCCGTGAACCATGGCCGCTGAGCCTGCGCGTCCGGAGCCTGTGCTCCGCAATGGGAGAGACCACAACAGTGAGAGGCCCGCGTGCCGCAAAAAAAAAAAAAAGTTTACTATCTTAACCATTTTTAAGTGCTTAGTTCAGTGACGTTAAGTACATTCACACACCACCCTCCATCTCCAGAACTTTTCATCGTCCCAAATGGAAACTCTGTCCCCATCAGATAACCCCCCACCCCCTCCCAGCCCCTGGCCCCCACCCTCCTACTTTCTGTCTCTGTGACTCTGATGACCAGGTCCCTCAAGTGAGTGGGACCCTACAGTGTTTCCCTTTTTGTGTCTGACTTACTTCACTGGCATCGTGTCCTGGAGGTTGTCCGTGTCATAACCTGTGAAGGTGGGCAGTGCTGCATATGGCACACTAGACTCATCCAGGCATTTGCCAGTGGACACTTGGGTTGCTTCTATCTTCTGGGTGTCTTGGAAAATGCTGCTGTGCACAGTGGCATGCAGAAGCCAGCTGCTGTTAATACGTGAACGTAATGGAGATGCGAACGTAATGGAGACGTGTAGCTTCTAGCCAGCTTCTCGTTGCTTCTGACACGTCCCCCTGGCCGCCTTCAGCTCTGTGGGTCATCTCGTGTTGGGAGTGGGTGTCCTCCCGGCCTTGCCAGAAATCACACTTTGCAGATTTGCAAAGGCAGCGTCTAGTGATAGGGCAGAGGCCCCGGGCCTTTCCCAGCAGGCGTGGGCTGGCTGCCACCCTGCCTCCCGTTCCCCGAGAGGCATGGGTCCACCTGTTTGTGGGGGTGAAGGCCGAGCAAGCGTGGCCATGTAGAAATGGCTTGTTGGTGACCTTGTCGGGCACACTCCCTCCCAGGCTGGGCCCTCCCTGCACCCGTCTGCCCCCACAGAGAAGGGGAGAGTGGGTTTGGGGGGCCCCTGCCAGGGCTGGGACGGTCAGCCTGGAGAGGAATGGGCTTTGAGGGTGGAGCAGAGAGTGCAGGTGCTGCGAGGGGCTCCCCACAGAGGGGCTGCGGGTCCTGCTCCCGAGGGCGTGTGGGCTCACCTGCCGGGACACCCACCTGCCTTGGTGCCTGTGGCCCGTGGGCTTGGGACCCTTTTTCCTGATCTGCCAACTTGCATTTTAAATGTAGGGACGGTCAGTGTCTTCGTTCTCCTGTGTTTCCAGCCCGTGGGTCTCTTCATGCTGAGCCCGTTCACTTGTCCCCCGTCTGGGCCTGGGCTCTGAGTCCGTGTGGTCGTCAGACTTGTTGTCTGGCTCCACAGCACTCAGCGAGTGTGCCGAACCCTCAGAGGGCCTGTCCCCCAGCATTTGTCCACCCCGGCTGCCCAGGCCCCCGCGTCCCTGGAGGTGGGCCCGGGCAGCAGTGCACTTCTGAGAAGCTGAGATACTCAGCGTAGTGGGAAATCAGAAAATGAAATAAACTCCGGAGGAGTCAGCGATTCACTTCTGAGGAACAAGGCAAAGATCTGAAATGCCCCAGAGTGAAATTACTGCCTCTTGACCAAGATCCGCAAAATTACCAGAGGAAATGTTCTCGACCAAATTGTAAAAGTAAATTTTACGTAGGTTTATTTTGATGAACGCTACTCAGACCCAGAAACATAAACTGATTGTTATTAATTTAAAATCCGTTCTAACTGGCGAGGTGGCTGGTTCCCCCTCCCACTCACACCCCATCCTACCGCTTGGTCCCCAACGCCTTTGTACTGAGGTGCGGGCCTGCACCCAGATGCCATCAGCTGAGCCCACGCTGCTGGCAGCAGCCAGAGGGCAAGGGGCCGGGCCCTTGGAAAGCCTCAGGGTCCTCCCAGTGTCCAGACGACCCTGGTGGGCGGCAGGCAAGGCCCCGGGAGCCCTCCCCAACTGGTTTTGTTTTCTGTATTTTCAAAAAGAGCATCCCCCAGACAGTCTGCCGGGCGTGATTGATGCTGAGGGTGGAAGCTTTTCACAGTCCTTGGCCTCTGACCTTGCTTTCCGAGGCGGCGCTGCGGTGGCGGGTTCCTGGCACGCCTCTTGGGTCTGCACGGGCAAGTGCTGGCGGGGCCACTGCTCCCGCCGGGTTTTGTAAACATTCAGGAACCATTTCCCAGTTTAACAACCGGGAATGTTCTCCGCCCGTTTACCAGGTAAGCCTTGAACCAAGCGTTATTTCTACTTGCAACAAAGGGTGATCCTGGAGGTCAAAATACAACGACCTGGGCGGCACGGCTGAGGAGGCAAAGAGCTCGCAGACTGTAGGTCTGCCCAGACGCCAGTGCTGCATCCACACTGGCTGGACTTGACGTGTTAAAAATGAAAAGGGAAAGATGCGCCTTGTGCCCTGTGGACGGTCCACGTGGACGGCCTTGGCCACAGCCGACGAGGCTCACAGATGCGGGGATGGGACGTGGGCCCTGCAGTCTGCCAGCCTCTTCCTCGGTGCAGCCTTGATCTCCACGTGGTGGATTAAACACATTAGCAGCTAAAGCAGTTAATTGCTGTGCAGGGGGCCGGCTCATTGTTTGTCTGTGAATCACCCACCCACACCAGGTGTCTTAGATAACAGGCTGGGAACTCGCAGGAGGAGGATTTCCTGTCTGCAGATGTGCCGATTACGGTGCTGAGTGAAGACAGTCAGCCCCCCTGCCTGCCGCAGGCTCGTGTTCACC